GGATATTAAACGAACGCAAATAACGTGCGGAGGGGAGCAGATGTTACAAAGCGTACGGTCTCAAGACATTGCTGGCGAATAACACACGCGATATCGCGACGTGTGCAGCAACGTAACCAGCGAGTGCGAACGATGTTGCAATATAATAATAACGCGTCGAGGTTTGCCGTTGTTTTATCAAGATATCTCCTCAGGGAAGAAAAAAGAGACGAGAATAATTACTATTTAATTGTCTAACGCGAAGACGTATGATTTGCGAAGTCTGTTTCAAGGATGACGATTAAATATAGACGTTTCGAAGTCATCGTCATCGTGCGGTCCAAGTTCGAGAGTTCCTGCCTCTGAGGCGACGCGACACGATGTTACTTATCAATCGCAAACAGAAACGGAACGATAGGCGAGCGCGGCCATTCTGCATATTTAATGCAATCACGACGCATCGGATCAAATGTATCGCGAGCGCTGTTTTCCCCCGCGAGAAAAGCGTCGCACACGCGCGACACGCGATCGAGCATCGAGCGATCACGCACCTTCGAAAGATGACAATGATGATGCCGACGGCGACGCCTGTATTGATGCGAAATAACACTGTCTCGAAAAAGCCGTGTCGCCGATAGAACACCGGTTCTACCGGATTTTCATCCCGGCAATAAATAATCAATCTGCTTTCCCGCGAGGCGGGATCTATTGTTGCGAAATTGTTTGGAATTCGATTCGATCTTCTCGCGTACGATTATCGCGACGATAACTTCTCACACTCCCGTACTCTCGCACGACGGCACAAAACGCGCGCATGTTTCAGCGGGCAATAAATAAGTCGCGAAATAAATTTCCGCTGCGCGGAGAAAAAAAAAGGAAAACGAGAGCGATCGTTGAGAGCCACGTGCGTACAATCGACGACGCTCCAGCGCGTCCATCTCGCGGCGGACGCGCAATTAGACTGGAAAAATATTAGCTCGGTAACGCGAGAGCCGTCGCCGTAACGCGACGCCTTTTAAATTCGGTAATTGTCCCCCAGCGAGAAAGTGCCTCGGCCGCTTCGGCGGCCGACGTAATTGACGACGTGGCGGCGGCGACCGACGCGTCGCGCCTCGTATCGTCTCGTCAGGCTCTAAAATAATCCGAAGCCGAGCCGGTCCATCACCACGCAACCACGCAATTTTTGGCAGCGACGCGTCGCGACGTCGCCGGCCGATTGTCATTAGACGATCGTCATCCTAACGCGGCGAACGCGAGTTTTTTTCCGCGTGACTTAAAGGCATTACGTCAGATTAAATGCTGTCTTCTCTTCAAGAATAGTTCATATATATATATAATATATATACATGCACATCTAAAGCAGAATATCCTTAACACGTGGCTTAATTAGACTAATAACGTATTCTGCAACCGCGCAAATTTGCCTCTGAACGCACACATATGCGCACATGTACATTAATACAGAGCTATCGCAGTGTCAGATCACTACGCACTAACACATTGTACACTTGCTTCTTTGAATAATCGAGAAATAATACGTCAATAATGTGTAATAATAATATGTAGCAATAATAATGCGCGATAGAATAATAATGCGCAATAATAATTAACAAGTAACAAATCGATAGAGAGAGCGCGTGATAATAATACGGCCAGAAAATTCTAATGACCTAGTTACACACTGCGTGCGTTAAAGCTATTCCCCGTCGGTTTAACGTAACACACCGCGTTAACCCCGGAGAATCGCGATGCCTTTCGAGACGCGATTTAATTGCCAGTGCGCGGCTATTCTACGTCGGAGGATTTTTCTCGAGCAGAGTGAAAGAAAGAAACAAAGAGGAGACACACAGGATAGACACAGAGAGAGAGAGGAACTCTATATGCGGTGTTCCGAAAATGCTCCGCATTATATATGCGTGGCCACGCCCCCTCGAAAGTTAAAGCAAAGCAGCTTATAATATTAAACGCAAACATCTTGAAATCCATCGCCCTGAATTTTAATTCTACCCACCCCGCCTTGCATTCCCGCCGCACGGCGAAATTGCGCGAGTATACGCCCGCGGAATAAATTACGGCGGGAGTTCGCCGCACAGCCGGCGTACATTTCGAAATTACGGGGAAGGACATAACGGAACCGTAGAGCTCGTTGACGCCAATCGACGGAGGCGCGTGCCGTTTATGCGCGCATCAAGCAGCCCGAGAGATAAGCCATGCCCGAAGATCATTTCTTACGATTTAGCACGTCCCGGGGGAACGATGCGAAGCGAGCGCGAGACCCGTTCGCCAACGAGCGGCATGCATTTACATGGAAAATTATGTTAATGCGTTTGAGCTATTTTGGGCTCGCGGAGCGTCTCCTTAAAACCGAAGGAGCGCGGAAGCGCACTCCCGAGACGTCATTCCGCCGTCAGGGGATAGGACGAGATACGAAGAGCAGGAAGACGAAAGGAGAGCCTCGGAGCCGAATGCTCGTCGCGCGACGAGATCGTCGTCGAAAAGTTGGCAATTAAAAATCGCCGACCACACCGACCGGGCCCGCCGGCGTTCTTGGAGGCGTTCCAAATTACGACACATTCACGTCGCGACAATGAGTTATGGCCGTGAAACATTATTTACACGCGGCCGCGGGCATAGCGGGCCGTACAAAGAGCTCTTTGTACGGGACAAGAGAGAATTACACCCCCTCGTGAGCCAATTATGATGGCGCGCGCGTAAAACGATTTTGAGATTCCCGCATACCCGCGCGAATTTAAACGGCGCGAATTAAAGTGACCTTCTCGCACGCAGGGTTTCTCAACCATCCGCGAGGACGTATCCGCGAGAAAAGTACAAACAACGAGAGGGAGAGGAACTCCACGCTTCGAGCAATCTTCCCCGTTTCGATCGATTGCCGATCGCGAGTCGCATCCAACGCGGCGACTGCCAATCAATCCCGCGATTTGCGTCGCTCGTACACCAGACGAGAGAGAGAGAGAGAGTTGCTGTATTTCGATAGCGTGACAGATACCCACCTCTAACTATATAATCGGCGCACTACGGCCGGATTATCCGGCATTCGAGTATCGGATTACGTTGTTAAATTTTACAATCCCAGTTAAGCCGACAACATTTTAGACAAACTCGGAGAGAGGAGAGGTAGAACCTGCGCGCGCGAGGAGGCGCGACAACATGGTAAACAAACGTACGTGTACGCACGTGAAAGAGAGAGGAGAGAGAGAGAGAGAGAGAAGTAAGAAAAGAAGTCACGTATATTTCATGTTCCCGCCGTTTGAAACGCGAAGTCGCCACTGGACTTGATCGACCAATATTTACACCGTCAGCTGTGCGAGGTTCACGCGTCGAAAAAAACATAGTGCTAAAATATTTAGCCGCTTGTGCGCGCGAGCGGGCGAACGGAAATCCAGTCGCATCGCGTTTCGATCTCGTCAATTTCATGACCTACATTCTCACGTGCGACACGCTGGCCCGAGAGCCGAGTCGAGAAATCGAAGCGGTTCGCGCGATCTCGTGGGAGGCCGGAAGCGCGACGCGACGGAGAGACGCGATGGCCATTCGTTCGGCTAGACTAGCTCGGAAAAGGGGGGG